TCTCGCAAGTGATTGGGCATGTTCTCAGGATATCTCCAGCTAGTTGCTCGCTCTAAGAATGAATTATCTATCAGTGAAGCTTTAAAATTGCCAAAAGAAAATAGCCCTACCATCCCAGCTGTGCGGTAGTACCTTGGCTTCTGCCAAATCATGGTAGTTGTAGCAAAGGGCCTTCGCTTCAATATCGATAGATTCAGCATCGTTAACTGAAGCTATACCCTTCAAAATTTTATTCAGCCTCCAATTGTTGGACCTGCTTGAGAGGACGAAGGGCATGGCTCACACTTTGGTCAATTGTTACAGTAAATGCATCTGCATGAACTTCACCATGGACTACAACCCAGCGTATAGGAATAACAAAGGTTCCATCCTGCAGCTTGGCCAGCTCGTCGACATAGAAGTGCTTACCAGCACTGGCATCGTACATCGGGCTGAGCATCCGTGTGTCCATCTCGTGGCGCCACTTATTAGCATGCCAGACCTCACGGATTCCACCCTCTGGGACCTCAGGATAGACATGGATATGTGGTCGAGTCTGAGGGTTTGCCCAATCCTATTAAAATTACAGACAAGTATGAGCTGAGTTGTACCATAATTTTTCCACAGCGTCACGCACCTTGGCGATGATACTCCGAATATCATTCATGTAGAAGACATTCCCGAGTTCAGACTGGCATTGTATAGAGGGTACGCCACACTTCTGGCGTAGTTTCTCTTGTGTATGGCGAAGCTTGTAGAGCGAAGGGACATCACGGGCACCTGTCTCCTTGAGAGTCCAAAGAAATACCTGCATGAGTGAATTGGAGACAGGGCACCGAGGTAGGTTATCGATGGTATCAAGAAGAAACATCTGTAATACAAGAGTGTGTCAACTAAGATCAGGTTCATAAGCACTAGACTCACTGTCTTTGACTCATACGGAGCCCATTGGTTCGACAACGCAGCATCAGCATCGCTTGGCGCAAAAGCAGGCAGCTCATAGTTAGCTGCATCCTCTACAGACGGCGGGTCCAGTTCTATTATGCAAGAACAGAAGCATCAGTATCTGAGTTGTTACACAAGGACGAGCAGGCAAGATGCATACCGGTGCTGGCAAGAAGGTCTGCTAGAAGTTCGTCTGGGTCCTCAGAGCCAAGGCGAAGCTCGAGGAATGGATCAGAGCCAGGGCTTTCATTCCCGAAGCCTAGGTCCTGAGCTGTGGAATGGGCGTTCCAGATTCCAAAGGCCTCTGCATTCTGCTTGAGTTGACGTTGACTCTCTGCCGCTGCCAAATCAGGATCCTCTCCGGCATTAAACGTGAACGCGTGTGGATCCTGTGAGAAGTCAGCCCAAAACTCCTCTTCTGCTGTGCTGGACGCATTTCTCGCTAAAGCAGGCTGTCTAGGTTGTATCAAGTTAATTGATTGCAGTGCCAATGAAGCCCCAGCCCTTTGCTGTTCTCTGCGGTTGAGTGTTTCGGCGATGGCTGCAACTTGAGCTCCTCGGCGCTCATGCTCCTCTACCACTTCCACGTGGGACCTTCCCTTGATGTGAGCTGCCACACTCTTCTTGCAAATTGTTGGTCCTCCCTCTTCAGGAGAGCAGAGAACACAGCGCACTTCGGAGCCGTCTCCTGAAGGCATAAAATCTGGCTGCCCCGTAAGCATTGTTGCTTGCCTAAATTTCTATAAAATGAACTGACATTTCTTGTACAATTCTTGGCGAGACATGCTTCCAGGACGTGAACACTGACAGGTGAAGTAAAAAATGGAGACGGCTTATAATGTGCATGGTTTTACTCACGCCAATGGATCGCGCGCGGCCTTTATTGATTGAGACATGAGCAGTCCTTCAAAAGGCCACCAACTGACCACAATATAAAACCACAGAACAGCACGCCATTCTTCCTCTTGAACACACATCGACATGCCCTCTGCATCTTCTGCAACTGCCTTCCGTGATGAGCTTGAACAGTTTGCTAATGCCAACAGCTCGCCACCTGGCAGCCCCAGGCAACCGGCCACGGTTCTCGGAAAACGAATCCGCCCCGCTGAGAGCACAAGTGATTCGGAGGAAGAGGACACTAGCACTATCAGAGGCCGCTCTCGAGATCCTACTACCAGTCAAGATGATACTTCCCCTACCCACTCTACAGCACAGCCCGCAGCTAGTACCAACACAGTCAACCGAAACGTCCTCGAGTACGCCAAGAGACTGGGAGCAAAAACGAAGCTTCGTGCCGAGCAGCAAGAGAAGCTCAATTCTTTTGCCACGGTATGTCTTTCTATTGGGCCACCCTCAATTCGTAGCTAGCGGGCTTACAGTTTTCAATGTAGGACTCTTCGGCCACTCAGGAGATGAAGACCTTCTCACTTCTACTCGCCATTCAGCAGCGGCAAGATGAGTTTATCACTATGCAGGCTCCATGGGAGCCCTCGGACGAACTAATTGTAAGCATGGTACGCCCCGTTCAACTGTATTCGGTGCCGGCTGACTTTGCGGCAGGCCAACATCCGAAACTACACAATGGGCGTGTTACTTTCCAGCCGGCTCGCAACATACAAGGGTGTCGTGCCAACAACTATGTTGCGGTATGTCCTTATATTTGGG